GTGTCAGTGATACTGCCTTTGGATTTGGCCTGTCAGATCGTCAGCGCGAGCTGAAGGCCAACAAGCTCGTTCCAGACCCGCTGTTGTTATCTCATCGCATTCCTCGGCTGTCCTGGCTTGTCTGGGTCACGGCCTGCCGGGGACAATGAGCTTGGGGAGTACGACGTCAAGGTTCCCTGCCGGCTCTCTGCGAGGAGCGCACGAACGCCCATCATGTGCTGGACCAGCATGTCGCCCAGCATTTCCAGGTCCTCCGCGTCGCCGCTTGTCTCGATGATGCTGGCGTGGTATTCGATACTGAGCAGGTGGAATGCCACGGCCGCCTCCCTTCCACCCCGGGCCATCATTTTCGTTGAGGTTGACTGTTGTGGGCCATCGTCTCCCCATCGTGTCATGGACTTCTCCTTGTGCAGTGGGTCGCCGGCTGCCTGCGATAGCGGACACTTAAGTGCCCGGGGGCCTATTTGTCTGTTAATACTATATTTTCACGACTTTAAAAGAGGTCTCCGTGGCCACCGAGATGGCCACCGTTCCGCAACGCCGCAACCCTGTAACAGAAGCCCGAACCCCGAACCTACGGGACGTCCGACATGGAGTGGGCGCTGCCGACGAGGGGAAGTAGATGCGAGCGTCACTCCGGCGGTCGCAGTGCCCTAGCCATGGCTGACAACGTTCAGCGGATCCCGGCGGTGGTAAGCCAATGACCGGCCGCACTGTGCCCGGAGGCTATGGCCCCAGCTCTTTGGCGCCCGGTCCCCGGCGACTCCTCGTCCAATCCGGCATGCTCGATGCAGCCCGCAGATGCGCAAGTCAGTTTTCCGAGTCATCCGACAACGAGCTGGCGTCAGGCCATAGCCGAGGGCCATTCGTGAACAGGCTGGTCGGTCCGGTGCAGCGGAACGGTCCGGCCCCGGCCGCCGTTTGCCGGGTCGGACCAGCAGGGAGCCGGCCGTGACGTCTATGTCCCGCCACTCCAGGGCCACGTCTCGCCGATACGCAGCCCAGACCGCACACATGATGAGCCCCGCCACCCGGGCGCGGCGAAGCTCCAGGGCCGCCAGGGAGTCCAGAAACCGCTCGACCTGCTGGGGGTTCCAGTAATGAGAGGATACCATATGGGAACTTTACACCAAAAGTTCCCATATGGTCGACTTATTCGACAGTCCGCAAGGCTGAGCATGCCGCCCGGCAGCGCGCCGAGGGCGGCCCGGTACCCGAATATGAACTTTACATTTCTAAGGATACTCTGAACAAGTGGGCGGCCATGTGGCATAGTTAGGCTGAATAGCCCGATGCTGATCGGTTACGAGGTTGTATGGACCAGCCCACCTTTGCCGACCTGGAATATCAGGGCAAGAAGCGCAAGACCCGCCGTGAACTCTTCCTGGAGCGCATGGACGGTCTGATTCCCTGGCAGAGCTTGGAGGGCCGCATCCGCCCCGTGTATCCCAAGGCTGGCAAGGGCCGCCACCCTTACCCGCTACCGGTCATGCTCAGGGTCCACTGCGTCCAGCTCTTCTACAACCTCAGCGACCCCGGAATGGAGGACCTGCTCTACGAGTCCGAGCCGGTGCGGCGGTTCGCAGGACTGAAGCTCTCCGGTCCCCTGCCCGACGAGTCCACGATTTTGCACTTCCGTCATCTGTTGGAAAACCACAGCCTGGGGCAGGGCCTCTTGGAGGAAATCAACGCCCACCTGGACTCCCAAGGGCTGAGGTTGCGAGAGGGAACCATCGTGGACGCCACCATCATCGAAGCTCCGTCATCGACCAAGAACCAGGCCAGGGAGAGGGACCCTGAGATGCACCAGACCAAGAAGGGGAACCAGTGGCATTTCGGGATGAAGGCGCATATCGGGGTGGACTGTGAGACGGGGATAGTGCACAGCATGACGGCGACTGCGGCCAACGTGCATGACATTACGGAGGCCCACAACCTGCTGCACGGTGGCGAGACAGTGGTCTGGGGAGACGCAGGTTATCAGGGAGTACACAAGCGGAAGGAGAACCTGGGACTGGATGTGGACTGGCGGGTGGCGATGCGTCCGGGGAAACGCCGGGGACTCGATCCTGGGAGTGATGAGGCGCTGCTGGAGAAAGCGAAGGCATCGGTGAGGGCTAAAGTGGAGCATCCGTTCCTGCGGTTGAAGCGGCTGTTCGGATACGGCAAGGTGCGCTACCGGGGGCTGGCCAAGAACACGGAGCGCCTGGCGTTGCTGTTCGGCCTGGGCAACCTGCTGGCGGCGGAGGGACGACTGAGGGGGTAGTGCGCCCAGCGGCCTTCCCGGCCAGTCTTCCGGCCTGTACCAAGCTCCCTGAGGCCCTATCAGGGACTAAACGCAAGGGGCTGAGCGGCGGTAAAGAGCGCCCAGACCGCGGCCGCCGCCCCCTCCGCTGCCACGTCCGACATGTCTCGAGTAAAAAAGGCTTGTTCAGAATATCCCTAATGGGCCGGAAGTGGTCTACGGTGGGCGCCAACCCGCCAACCTCAGAATCTTCATCGCATTGTCGTTCGCAATACCAGCAGATATTGCTACTTCTAATACCCAATCCTGGTCGGAATAGCGACCATAGAAAGTCAGATGGTCGCTCTCCTACTTTGTTCTGAAAGTAATCGATCCATCCTGGCGTAAACTGCTGGGAATACTTGGCAACTCCGTCTGGTTCAGGCCCCCGGTCAATCCAGTGCAAATTGGCTAACCTCCGTCCTGCGACAAGTCGGACTGTCGGGAAAGCAAGAAGCGCTGCATTAAGTCTGAGTAACGTTCACGCTGGGCTTCTATTGGACCACCCTTGGAGATCAAGGATTCACTCACCTGGCGACGCAGCGTGTTCAGAATTCGATGGTTTCCTCTTCGCCGGTCAGGGTTTCTTTTCTCCGTAGTTGACGCAAGCGGTCAGATCGTTCAATGGTGATGAGGTCGGTGGGTTCGTCGACCCCCATCATCGTGCGAAGGATTTCGTCGGCGGTCCAGCCGATGACGTCTTCGGTGTTGGTGTTGGTGGTGACGACTCCGTTCTCGTCGCGGTTGAGCAGGTGCACCTGCCCGGCTTTCAGCCCTGCCACAACGAAGGGCGAGTGGGTGGTGGCGAAGATCTGCAAGCCCGGGAAGTGCTCCAGCAACGCAGGGATCACACGCCGCTGCCAGGTGGGGTGCAGGTGGTTCTCGATCTCGTCGATGAGGAGAATGGCGGGTTTACCGGCCCAGTCCCGTTCGAAGCCGTAGTGGTGGACCATCTTAAGGGCCAGCCATCGTATCCAGAGGAGCGTCCCTTCCGTTCGGAGCTGAGATGTCCAAGATAAATGGGTAGTGGCTCGTGATAGTCGGCATAAGCTGACGATGCTGGCTGCTCTTGCAGTGGAAGGTCTTCGAAATTTCGAGGATCGTTGGTATTAATTCCCATCAAGCGCAATATGTTTATGTGCTGGATCAGCGTGTGGGTGGTGGAGGTATAGCCCATGCATACGGGTCAGGGATGTAATTGCGTGATCTGGAATCGTGAATTACTTCATCGCAATGCGTTTGCTGCAAGCATCAGCCAACTTCATCGCGTCCATCAGAATTACCCGTGCCATAGGAGGGAGGTCTTCCCGTTTGCAGACCGCCAAAGTCCTCTCCCAACAGCCGAGACGCGCACATTGTGCGTGGCCGCTAAATGGCCATCCAACGCCTCAGCGGCCGTCTTCCATAGGTGTCGGGATCATCCTGGTCAGAGATGCCGGGAAGGACTTCCCGGAACGAACCGATGTGAATCGTAGGAGGGTCTTCCTGGTTCCTGACGGGCTCATCCCTTGTGCTAGCCAATCCTCACTGCCAGTGAGGGACGGTGGTAGAAGACTATGCTTCGTGTGGTCAGTGATGATTTCTTCGAATTCATCATCAGTGTAGAGGCCCGCTCTAAGGAAGGCCCTCCCTGTGAAATCGGCCTCTTGGCATCCTCTTCAGGACAATCAGGCGGTCAGCCAACACCAAGAGGATGGTACTCTTGCCTGAGGCGTTGGGTCCGATGAATAGGTTGACACGTTCGTCGAACTTCAGTTGAATCGGTTCAGTGAAGGGGGGTATTCCGCCGAGATTCATTCTAACCAAGTGCATATCAACAGCACATTAACCAAAGACTCTATTCGTTTGAGCCTAAGGACATAGGGGGAACCTTGTCAATGAGCGACTACAGTATATTTGAACTCGGCAACCTGCGGCTGCAGGGTGGGGCTACGCTGCGGGGGGCGTGGATTGCTTACAAGACTTATGGGGCGCTGAACGCGGCTGGGGACAATGCGATCGTATTCCCTACGTTCTTCGGGGGGCAGCACTACGCGAACGAGAAGATTATCGGGGCTGGGCAGGCGCTGGACCCGGAGAAGTACTTCATCATCGTGCCGAACATGATGGGGAACGGGCTGTCGTCGTCGCCGTCGAACACGCCTATGCCGTACGACCGGGCGCGGTTCCCGTGGGTGTCGCTGTACGACAACGTGACCAGCCAGCACCGGCTGGTTACCGAGCTGTTCGGCATCGAGCGGATCGCGCATGGTGGTGGGCTGGTCCATGGGGGCGCAGCAGACCTACCAGTGGGGGGCGCTGTACCCGGACATGGTGGAGCGCATCGCGCCCATCTGCGGGTCGGCGCGGACGTCGCGGCACAACTTCGTGTTCCTTGAGGGGGTGAAGGCGGCGCTGACGGCCGACGACGCGTGGGCCAACGGCTGGTACGATTCGCCGCCGTACAAGGGGCTGCGGGCCATGGGTCGGGTGTACGCAGGATGGGCGGTGTCGCAGGCCTTCTACCGAGAGGAAGTGTACCTGGACATCGGGTACTCGTCGCTGGAGGATTACCTGGTGGCCTTCTGGGAGGGACGCCGTCTGTTCGCTGACGCCAACAACTTTCTGGCCATGCTTCGGACGTGGCAGAACGCCGACATCAGCCTGAACGACACGTACAACGGCGACTTCGCCAAGGCGCTGGGGGCGATCAAGGCGCGGGCCATCGTGATGCCGGGGCGGACGGACCTGTACTTCCCGCCGGAGGACAACGAAATCGAGGTCTCGATGATGCCCAACGCCGAGTTCCGTCCCATCGAGTCCATTTGGGGACACTTGGCTGGCAGTCCGGGCCTCAACCCGACGGACGCGGCGTTCGTGGACGCGGCGCTGCTCGAGTTGCTGGCGAGCTGAGGAGGAGAGGGATGGCGGACCTGCGATACGAACGGTACCCCGACGGCCACTATGCCGTCTTCACCATGGACCGTCCTGACCGGCTGAATGCGCAGGGGGCGCAGATGCGGGCGGAATTGCGGGAGGCGCTGGCCGAGTTCTCGCACGACGACGAGATGCGGGTGGGCATCGTCACTGGCGCTGGCCGGGCATTCTCGGCGGGGGCCGACCTGCGGGAGATGGCCGAGGGTAGTGGCAGCGTCCGGGCCGGCCAGACTGAGGAGGAGCGGATCGAGGCATACCGGGGCAACCAGCCCTTCGGACGCAACCCCAAGCCGTTCATCGCGGCGGTCAACGGGCTGGCCATCGGCGCCGGGATGGAGCGAGCTGCCGACTGCGACATCCGGATTGCTGCGACCGAGGCGTACTTCGGGCTGTTCGAGGTTAAGCGGGGCATACTGGCCAACTACGGCATCAACCACCTGGCGCGGCTGATGCCCTTTGGCGAGGCGATGTACCTGATGCTGACCGGCGACACACTGAGCGCGGAGGAGGCACAGCGGTTGGGGTTTGTCCACGAGATGCTGGAGCCGGAGGCGTTGATGCCCCGGGCGGTGGAGATCGCGGAGATGATCGGGGCCAACGCGCCGCTGGCGGTGCAGGGGACGAAGGCCGTGGCCTCGTTCTGGCGGCGCTATGGGCTGGAGGAGTCGTATCGCGTCAACGCCGCGTGGGGACAGCGGGTGCTGAACTCCGACGACGCGCGGGAGGGACCGAGGGCGTTCGCCGAGAAGCGGCCGCCGGAGTGGACGGGGCGGTAGGGGCTCAGGGCCGCTCGCGTTTGAAACGACGCAGGTGGCCCTGGTCTCCGTCACTCCGGTCTGTGCAGGTGGAACTCCCTTCGTGGAGCGGTCCTTCGTTCCCGCCGGGATTCACCGCGAACGCTTCAGGCAACCACCGGCCGCTGTTTCGCTAAGCCGAGAGTGCGGCGGCGACGCCCTCAATTTTCGCTGGACCCTCTGTAGTCAGCTCGCCGATGGCCCTGACGATGTTCGGGTGCTGCAATCCAGAAACCAGGAAGGTCCACCGGCAGGCCCGCTGGGTATTGGTGGTGATCTCCTCTCTCTCGGTGTCAGTGAACGCCCGCCCAGTCGCCTTTTCAAGGGCTTCGATATTCATCCCGATCTGCTGGGCCAAGAGCCCGTCGATGGCCCCTCCAAGCTCCAGGACCTCATCAACGGCCGCCTCCCTTTCTTCAAGGGTGAGCTCCTCGGCCACTTCGCCGATCAGCAGCGTGTCCATCTTGGCGTGCTGCGACTCTTCCAGCCAGTGAACCTCAGGAGATCCCGGAATAGCGCGTCGAGGCCCGAGTCGTCACGCACATGCTCTATGTAGTGGAGCTGGGTGAACCACTCGATAATGGCGGTCAAGAGCATGACGGCAAGCTTGGACTTGCTCCGGACCACCTCGGCCACCTCTTCCCGACCTGGTATCAGGCCGCACTCGATCCCGAAACCCTGGCCGAAGAGGACAACCGACCTGCGAAACAGTTCCTGGTGCTTGAACTCCTCCTCGGCGAACCGCAACAGCGAGCGGGCCCTGACCTCGTCCCCATAGACATCCTCCAAGGCCTCCTCGGCTACAGTGGGGTGATGACTCCTCTCGAAGGCAAAGATGTGGCAGTAGGCGTTGCCCATGATCTGATTCATCTGGAGTTTCTCGGTGTCGTTCAGACATCCGATATCGTCGACGCCGCTCAACCTGTTGGGCAGGAAGCGCTTGGAGAAGTCGAAATTCTTGTTGCCAGGAGCATCGTCCTCAGCCACGAGAAAGACCCTCTGGGATATCGTCAGGCACATCCTGGTACGTGTAGTTATGGGTAAGCATGGGCTCGCCTCCTTACACGGCTGGGACTAGCGGGGTTGTTCCTTATCAGGCGAGCACGCAAAGCTCGAGCGCTTGTGTGCAGGGAGAGCTAGTCGTCGGCGGGGGTGGCTGCGGTTCGCGGGGCGGTGCCTCGACCAGCTCGTATAGGTGGCTGCGGCTCGGATCTGCTCGTCCAGCGCGACGTCGCAGGTCGATCATCAGGCCGTCGCCCTTGTACTTGCGGTTGGCGCGGCTGCTGCCCGGCCACATCGGTGGCTCCGTGTCCTCAACGGTGGAGACGGCGTCATCCATGTCATCGACATAGAAGCCTAAGTGCGTGCCCTCCCTGACGGTGGACGGGCCCTCGCCTAGGTTGGGGGCGTCTCCGTACCCATCTTCAGATGGCGAAATAAATGTAGCCATCGGTGAGCCATACGACCCCTCGGCCTCCTCCGTCGAGCGACGCAGTTCCTCGAGGCCGAAGCAGGTCTTGTCCACTCGGCGTGGCCACGGGTCCTCGTGTGAGCGCTATGTGCTTGATTCTCGGGCCATAATTTCCTCCTAGGCTGTGTCTACAGGTGATGAGGCTAGATCTTGCCTACCAGGGCCTTGAGGGTATCGTAGGCGCGCTGGCCTGAGTCAGGTTCGCCGGGAACGTCGAATATGTTGCCGACGAAGTCGGTTGCTCCGCCTTCCGCGAAGGCTTCAAGCTGGCGCTGGACCGACTGCTCGTTGCCGATGACTGCCACTTCGGCCGGGCTCTCAACGCCCTCGATATCGAGGAGGCGGCGGTAGTTGATCAGGTCGCCGTAGCGCGCGTAGGACTCGGCGGCCTTACGGCGTCCGGCGTTCTCGTCGTCGGTGGCCGCAGTGGGCAGTCCGACGCAGACGCGGGGCTGGGGACGGCCGCTGTTTTCCGCCGAGCGGCGGATGCGCGGCGTGATGTGAGTCTCGATGGTGCGCGGGCCGGCCATCCAGGTCACTGTCCCGTCGGCGAGCTGACCGGCGAGGTTGAGCATCTGTGGAGCCAGCGCGGACACCAGGATGGGACAGTCCGGGCGCTCGAGAGCGGCCAGTTCAAGATTGCAGTTGAAGAACTCCCCGTTGAATTGGACCGCACCCTCCTCCAGCAGGGGACGCATGACGGAAAGGTACTCGCGGGTGTGCAGGGCCGGACGGTCGTAGGGTATGCCGAAACCCTCCTCCATTCCGGGACGGTGCGACGGGCCGATGCCAAGTATGAACCGCCCGTTGGTTGCCGTGGCGGTGGTCAGGGCCTGCTGGGCCAACGCCGCCGGGTGGCGCGGGTAGGTGGGGACGACGCCGACGCCCAGCTCAATGCGGCTGGTCTGCATCCCGGCCATGGCCAGCACCGTCAGCGCGTCGTAGCCGCGGGCGGAGATGTGGGGATCCAGAAGCTGTCGAAGCCGTCGTCCTCGGCCTGCTTGATACGGGCCAACAGGCCGTCCAGGGTCATCAGGTCGGCGACCGAGGCGCCAACGAAAACTCCGATTCGCATAGGCCTACTCCTTAGAAGTCATCCAAGAGGGGTCCTGTTCCTGTGGCATTCAAATGGTTGCGGTCCCCAACCACTTGATTCCCTCGAAAGCGGGAATGATGGGTATGTTCCCGGGGATGGTGCCGGCGAACTGGACAGGGTCTTGAGACAGGTCACCGGCATTGCTACCAATATTCTCCTGCGCTGCGCGGTTCACTTGAAGGCCACGCAAGCCTCGGTAACTACTCGAAGCACCGAGTTCTGGTTGAAGCGCTGCTTGTACTCGGCGCCGATTTCGTTGATTCGATCCATTGCCTCTTCTCCCGCCGCCGCCAGGACCAGCAGCATCTTGGTGCGCTCCCGCTCGATGGTCCCGTCAGCGGTTGTACTCTGCCCAGCGACGTCCATGACCGACAGACCGTCAGGGAAACGGGGCGTTATGGTGTCGGCAAGGAACTTCTCCCAGTCGGCGTCGCTGACTACCTCGCGGTCCCCGTCGCTGCGGCCCACGAAGAGCCGGTACTCGACCCATTGCTCGCCGCCGTCCTCGCACTCCGACTCGGCAGTGCCATCCTGTATGCAAGCAGCCAAGAGGACAAAGACCAGAGCCAGGACCGTGACCAGGGACAACCGGAGAAGGGAAACTTGATTCGCTGTTCTTGACATTGTGCTCTAACTACTCCTCCCGCTGGGGAGGAGGTCAGAGACCGGGCGCGCCTCAATAAACATAATGCCATTGACACCAGGCATTCCACACCCCCACCCCAGCCTTCCCCCCGAGGGGGAGGAAGTTTTCCACACTCGGTCCTAGAGATTCATGGCGTTCAGGCCGACACGAGACAGGTCCTCGTCGGACTGGCCGCTGGGGTAGCCGCCGGCACCGATGCCGCCGAGGATGACGCCGTCCTTCATGATGACGAGTCCGCCTGTGCCATAGGTCATCATGGGATCGCCCTGGTCGGCGATGTTGCGCCCTGGCCGTGCAGGGCGGCTGGCGTTCTCCTCTGAGTCCAAGCCCATCAGGGCCGAGGTGTGGGCTTGCGGGGGCGTGGCGGCGGCTGAATATGCGCAGATTGTCCATGGTCTGGTAGGCCAGCAGGTTGCCGGCACTGTCGACGATGGCCATCGCCACCGGCTCGTTGGGCGTTTCCATCGCCTTGTCTATCATAGCGTTCATAGCGGCCCGGACCTGGGCCATGGTGGGTTCGGCCATGTGCCGTCCTGTGTTTAGTAACCAATTTGCCGCCCCTTGCGGCACGAGGATTATACCTTCATTGCCTTCGGGCCGTTTGAGCATTGCCACCTTTCGTAGTAGCCTAGGGCCGTCCGGCGTCCCAGCAGTTTGTTGCCGAGTCAGGAGACGCCCAGGAGTTGGAAATGACGACGCGGCTGGACTCGTGGCTGGCACTGACCGAGGAGGATCCCATTGAGCCGGATATGCCCATCCTTGATCCGCACCATCACTTCTGGGAGCGCCCCGACAATGTATATCTGCTGGAAAACCTTCTGGGGGACGCGAGGTCGGGCCACCGGGTGAACCAGACCGTGTTCGTGGAGTGCCACTCCCAGTACCGCACCGACGGGCCGGTGGAGATGCGGTCGGTGGGCGAGGTGGAGTTCGTCGAGGGAATCGCCGCCGCCAACGTTGCTGCGGGCAACGAGATTGCCGTGGCCGCCGCGATAGTGGGCAACGGGGACCTGATGCTGGGCTACGGAGTGGAGCCGGTACTGGAGGCGCTGAACGAGGCGGGCAAGGGGCGGTTCCGTGGGATACGGTGCACCGCTGCGTGGGACGCCAGCCCGGAGATCAACGTGGCGCGAGCTAACTCGGCGGGGATGCTGGCGGACGCCAACTTCCGCCTGGGGCTGGCCTGCCTGGAGCGGATGGGGCTCACGTTCGACTGCATCGTGTACCACCCGCAGTTGCCGGAGGTGGCGGACATGGCGCGAGCGTTCCCCGACCTGACCATCATTCTGAACCACGTGGGACGGCCGCTGGGCATCGGGCCGTACGCCGGGCGGCGCGAGGAACTGATGCCGGAGTGGCGCGCGGGCATCGATGCGGTGGCCGAGTGTCCGAACGTGGTGATGAAGGTTGGGGGAATGGGCAACCCGATCAGCGGCTCGAAAGGGCACACGCGTCCGTTCCCGCGGGATCGCGAGAAATTGCCGCCTCGGGTGCGCCCTACTATCTGTACAGCATCGAGAAGTTTGGACCCGACCGGTGCATGTTCGAGAGCAACTTCCCGGTGGACAAGCAGTCGTGTTCCTACACGGTTTGCTGGAACGCGTTCAAGCGCTGACGCGGGAGTTCTCGGGCGACGGGCAGGCCTGACCTGTTCCACAACACGCGGCGAGGGCGTACGGGCTGGCGGAGGTTAGTGAGGGCATCGCGGTTAGAGAGGTGGTGGCAACGACTGGGCTATTTCCCTGCTTGGGGTGCGGTACACGTTGTGGTTTTGAGCTTTCTGGTGTTTGTACAGCAACCCGATCAGGCGAAGTTCGCAACGCAGATTGGAGCGAGATCGACTGGAGGCCCACACCTGGACCTTCCGGCCAGCCGATGAAGTCGGCGTGAACAACACATCGCGTTCCACTGAGCGATGCAGCTTGGCGTTCTGGAAGTCGCCCGCGGTTTGCGTTGGACGGCGAGGACTCAGAATTTCCCAGTCTCAGGGGCAATAAGCCGATGACCGATAGCACACTCTCCAAAGATGCTGCCGGGACACCGGCCCGAGAGGCCAATCCCACGGATTCCGGAGTCCAGTTTCCGGGACTGGTGCGCGATGCAGACATTGACAGGCAAATCGCCGAAAGTGCCTGGCAGCACGCAGTGGGCAATGCTACGAGGCCGCATACCTGCGATCCGAAGGTGTGCGTGGTGGGGCTCGAACTGCGGCGCGAGCAATGTGGATTGGGCGCGTATGTTTGTCGACGCAGTTCGAAGAAAAATATAGCTTGACACGTAACGAATATGTTGCACATAATAAAGTACTTCGCGCGACAGCTGCGGGGGTATTGTTTTGCCCGCAGAGAGGCAAGAAATGAACGTCTGCTAAGCGTCAAAGAGGTGGCTCTCGTCGTTGGGATTTCTAAATCTGGCTATCACAAGAAATCAGCAGCGGCGAATTCTCCCGGCGCCGGTGGCATCTGGACAATACGATCGGTCGGTTCGCAGGAAGACGTGCAAGGCGTGGATGACGCACTTAAGGCAAAGAAAGAAGATTAAATGAAGCGGACGACCGAGAATGGCAAATGGACGACCAGTTTCCGTCGCCG